TTATCTGTCTACACACACACACACACACACACACACACACACACACACACACACACACACACGGTACTTCTTTGAGTACTGACAGTATCACTGTAATAACTAAACAACTTTACAATGGCATGTAATTGAGAAGTGGGCAATACCCATTGCTTCACTGATTCTGACGTACCACTTTATAGTCACACCTTATAAAAGTCAAATGGCATTTGCACCTCTATCTCTATTTTTATTTACATCCATTAGAATTAAATGTGAAGTATCGAAATAGGATGCAAAGAACAAGCAGTAATTTTTCTATATACATTTATATTATGAAAAGAGTCACTTCATGAAATATTTAAAACTGGAGTTATTCTTTGTAGGACACAGTTTAGACAGGACAGCTAACTGTGTTAACTGATGTGCATATACTCATCATATACACACACACTTTGCACGCCTTGCATCTGTTCTGATGACTGTTGATTAACCCATTTTGGCAAGCACTGTATTACTACAAAGAACAACCCATTAGGAAAGCAATCACAAGTACTCAGCACTTACATTTTAGCCCAGGTGGAATCATGCTAGTGGATTTTTTTAATTAATATTTCTCTCACATTCTGAATTTATAGGTTCTTTTTTCTTCCTAACTCTTACATAGCTATTTGTGAAATTGCTACTTTTACCTTTACCAGTATCATATTGCTCTCTAGTTTACTATAACATTCTTCCAGTTGACTTCTACAAGCACATATATGGTTATTAAATATTGATTTTTAAAAGACCTGCTTTTCCTGAGTGCAGGCACTAAAGCTTCATTATTTCCCTTGTGATGTTGTTTCATAAAAGTCATGTTTCAAGCTACAAAAACAGTTTTAGGTAAGTGTACAAGCCGTCAATTACATCTGTTCTGACCCTCCGAATCCTCACCTAGGGCAATTCGTTTTCTCCTACCCATTGTGATTCTATGAAACTCCCAAGAACGTAACCCCACTTAATGAGTTTGTCTGAGAGTAAGGATACTATCGCTTCCACTCAGCTCACATTGGCCATGCACAGAACTACACGTTTCCCCCGACTCTTGCTTCTGAATTCTCCGGCCCTGTTTATTTCAACTCAGGCAATATTGTATTTTAGATGTACACAATTATTCTCCCAACAACTTCCCAACCTTCTCTCTCTATTTTCTTTGAACGCTTTCCTAATTACCTAGAGGAGGAGGCATCTCTCACTCTCTAGATGTATGACAAGGATGCACCAAAGGGCAACCAAAAATGTTTGAAAATTTTAAGGAATAGTAATAGTAATATATGTTTCCAAAGTAAAATAACCTAAACTTTAGGGTTAAAGATAGCAACTTCAAAAAAATCTTTCAATGTACCCCAAAATTTCTACAAGAACTTACCCACCTTCCTTTTTCAAATATCCTCAAACGTTAGCCTAAAAACTCATATGCAAATAAGTTCCTATTAATATCGCAATAAAGCTATTAAAATAACACATTCCGATTTTAAAAATGTCATTCTACCAAGGTTGTTTAAAAGTCTAATTAAGTCGGAAAATTAATAATATGCTGATATGTATAGTAATCCAAGGAAGGTTGAGATTCTAAGGTGTGAGACCTAGTTTTATCACGTAGTCTTGGAACTCTGGGAAACTCATTTAAGCTTTCAGGGCTCTATTTCTCTCATATGTAAAAAGCTGTGGCATGGAGTTCAACAGAAGACAGTTACAACTAGTCATAATGCTGTTTGTAAATAAAGGATGGCACCTATCCTTTTCATTTCAAAAGTTTGATGTGAAAATTAAAGCTATGCTGGGTAGAAGTATACTGTAAAATTGTATAAACTATAGTATACTGTAAAATTGTGAAGTACTATTATTTTTATAGCTTGGGTAAAGTAGCCTTTTGTTGGTTGACTCTTGCTAATTCATTTTTGCTCTATCAATAGGTTCATCTTCCTAATATGCACAATTTATCATGTAACTCAGCTACTTAATACCTGGCAATGGTTCTTCCTCATCAACAGAATAAAGTACCCTTTAACATTCTGACAATTCCCACTGACCCTCAACTAATATGCCCTGTGATATTTATCTGGCATGAAATACTTGGCATGAAATACTTGTATTGCACACATCCAACTTCCAGGTCTTCGTTCCTGCTGATTTCTTTTGCCTGCCTTTTCTTGCCACTTTGTCAATCTTGATAAATCTGATTTGCTATTCAATTCACAGCTGAAATGCTACTTAAATTTTGGAAAGTTCTCTGCAGTTCACTGTGCATCTCAAATTGACCTCGAGCTATGCCTTTTATAAAAGTGCTTTATAATCATTAATATAATTCGCCAACTGTCCCATACATATATGGGAAGTCAAGGCCAATTTCTTATCTATGATTGCAAATATAAGGTATAGCAATATCTGTTAAGCAGAGGCCTTAGGGCCCAACCTATTAAGAGTACCAGCTGTGGAATCAGACAAACTTGGGTCGAATATTGGCTCCACCACTTCTTTGTTGTATCACTTGAGCTGCTCACTTAACCTTTTTTTTTTTTTTTGAGTTGGAGTCTCACTCTACCACCCAGACTGGAGTGCAGTGGCCGCTCCCGGCCACCGCAGCCTCGCCGGCTGGGCTCCGGCAATCCTTCCGCCTCAGCCTTCCGAGTAGCCAGAATTACAGGCATGCGCCACCACGCCCGGCTGATTTTTTTGATTTATTGTAGAGATGAGGTCTCGCTGCCCAGGCGGGTCTCGAACCCGCGGGCTCAGGCCATCCACTCACCTCAGCCTCCCAAAGGCGTGGGATGACAGGCTGAGCCACCAAGCCCGGCTACACTTAACCTTTTTAAGACTCCATTTCCTCCTAGATAAAATGGAAATAATAAAGACGACGTTGTGCTCCAAAATATCTTGGACCCAGTGCACAGTAGTTATTGGCTGTTCTAACGATAATGATGATGAAGATGTTAATGAAAGTGTTCAATAAACATTTGTTCAATAACAAGATGATTAAATTAAATAAATTCAGTACCATTAAAACTTATTTCGATGGGACCACGTAATCAAAGTTATAAATGTCTTGCTCAAAACTAGCTGTTACAGTATGTTTAATGAGGTTGCATTATTTCCATAACATTTATTTGAGAGAGAAAAATTTTATGATGCTGATGCTGATAATACTAAAAAGAAAACAACTGCTATTCCTCAAGAAGTAGACATTCTTTAGAGCTAAACTGCTGTTCATTCATTTTTATTGACCTAATATCAAGCTTAGAAAAATATAGATAAGTCATCTCTTTAGAGATGAAAATGCCAACAACAATCTTCAGACTCAAAATTGTAATACAGTGTTTTAAGTTTAATTTTAAATAGCATATTAAGTAAATGTACTGGAAAAAAAATGTCTAAAACCTGTCAGTGAATTAATAAAAGGTGAAAAAGATGAAAAACACTTTCAAACAGTTTTCAGAGGATTTTGCAAAGCTCAGTTAAAAAATATTAATACAAGTAAATATGTAATTTTCTTTAAAGAGAAAGGAAATTTTAGTTTAACGTGAACTTGAAAAGAAAATAAATTCCCATTACAAATTGTGTTCTGTTTGAAAGGAAATTGCAGGCTAAAAAGATCTTGAAGCATTTTTTTCTTTTTCCAGTGAAAAACATTTTCTGTTCTTAGTTGGCTATTGACTTAGGCAACTGAGAAAAAACAAAATAAAACTACAGTGGATAATGGAAGATGTATTTTTAAAAGAAATCATTAAAAACATGATTATAAGCTAGTTGGTTACTGAAGGTTCAAATTGTGAAAAATTATTGATGTTACTGATAGTAATCGTAACAGTTGAAAAATAAATAACACAAAGCAACGCTGCTTATAAAGTACTGTAGAACAATTTGTAATGACTAGTGGAAAAGCGTTAATTTGTGAACACAGTATTTTGAAGGTCACTCAACTTTCCACTTGCCATAATGCCATTATGTTAAATACACAATAAAAATCTAAGATTATTTATGGAAAGAATTTTGTAGTGCTGGTAGAATAGTATATTACCAATTCTGGCCATATGTACAAGCAGAAAAGCCGGATCTAATGCACCATTAAGCAAACTGTAGCATTGCTGTACATTTTTTAAACATTAAACTAATTATGATGAGGTTTGGTCTTACTATATACTGCATATTTAATCTTTTTAAAGAGCCTATCAAATTTAATCACGAGATACAACCTATTTATGCACATGCAATATTAACAATGCACAATATGCTGACTTAATTACAAAAAGTTCATGTTATCTTAAATACGTTTAGGGGTTTAATACCACACAGCTCTAATTTGAACTTGCCATTTAATTATACTTTAAAACCAATTTATGTGACTTAGAACTTTTTGTCCCCTCTCTCCTATGGAGTAGATTGGTCTATCGACCCAGTTAAAATTAGCTTCTGTTGAAAATGAAAGAGAGACTACAGATTGATTGAGACTTGGGGGTGGGTGACGAGTTGTGGTGGTGGAGACCACACAAAAAATTGCTTCAATAAAATAACGCCTTTTCAAAATTATCTTTCTTCTTTTTCTTCGTTTTCTACACTCAGGGTATGCATGAGAAAACTTCCAATCTCTTAATATCACCTTCAAATTTAAGTAGTCAAGTACCAAGGAAGGTTTACGGAGTGACACATGTCAATGGAGCCTAAACTCTGCTCTTGTGCTCCCAAAGCTGTTGACTCTGTCCTCTTACCCGGGTTCTCCAGCTTAAGTTCAAGAGCAATCTTTAATATTCACGCTAAAAGGAAGATATACATGAAGCTATTAAAAATCAATAAGCAAGCTTACATTTTGACACGGGAAGTTAGAACTACTTATTGTTTACTAATTGCTTCAGCTTTTTTTCAATAGCAGGAAAACCAACAGTATAACATAAAACAAGGTAATTTCCAGAGTACAGAAAGAAAATCAATCCCATCAGGATTTAATCTTACAATATAACCCCAAAGAGGCCATACAGGTTGCTTACCTTCACAGAATGTGACACCGTTTCCTGAAAAGCCCAAGTTGCAATAGCAGCCTTCCTTTCCATCACGTATTTCACATTTCGCATTTGGGAGACAAGGTGTCTTGGTGCAACTTTGAGGAGAGGAACAACTCAACAAAGTGGAAAAACCCACTAAATAAAATAGAGAAATGCACTCCTTCAAAAATAAAAAGAGACACTTTCCCCCATTGTTGAGGTAGAATACAATACATACAAATGCTCTTCATTTGGGTAAATGGATTATAACAATTTCCCAAGGGAGTATTTAGCTAAATACCATCACAAAAGCAAGCAAAAAGATTGAGCCTTTTTTTTCCAATTTCAACTTTTATCAAGTAAGCCTCCACAAAGCTAAATGTCATAAACAATCTAGCTTTATCATAAAAAGTGCGTGGCTAGAGCAGCATAGTAGGGTGGTTCAGTGTCACCCTTCACCTAGAGATGAGTTGCTTCTAAGGGAACCGCCTGATTGTCAAGCATGGCCCTCCTTTGGGAGTAATCCTGAGCAGAAATGAAGGTAAACTGAGTATTTGGCTCTTTTCAAATTCAAATTTGTGTTCTTTTAAGACCATATCTTAACATCTAGGGGAACACAGGCAATTGCTCTTTTTTTCTGTGTCCTAGGGATTGTTTTCGATTCTGCCTTTTATAAAATAATAAAATGCCTTATACAACTATTTCCATTAGGAGAAATTAAAATTTTAACAAGTCAACATGCTGGCCAAAGATTGATCTTCTGGAATTGAAATGGCTCACAAACATGACCAACAAAAATCAACCATAGCGTAAGAAACAAGAGTGTGTTACAGAGTTATTGAAAACAAAGTTGGAGATGAATATTTTATGGACTGATAGGACCAGATAAGAAAGGCACAGGAAGCTCCTTTTTTTATTGTTGTTTCAGGCCTTCTCAAGAGAAGCCTTGAGGAGGAACAGCTATGAATCATGAAAGTCATTGTTCTGCAGTCACCTAAGATAAATTGTCCTTATCTGCTATCAAGAGATTCTCAAAAGTTCTACCCTAAATCCTAGCCTCACAAAGGAGTTTATTTACCGTCTAAGCCAGAATGATTTCACCTTGGGAGGTGTGATTTATTATCTTTCTGCACAGCATCGTCAAAATGATATTTTATCTATTTTATTTTAGGGACAGGAGCTCACTCTGTCGCCCAGGCTGGAGTGCAGTGGCAGGATCACCGCTCAGCCTCGACCTCCTGGGCTCAGGCAATCCTTCCTCCTCACCCTCCCAAGTAGCTGGGACTACAGGCGTCTGCCACCACGCCCGGCTAACCTTTGTATGTTTGGTTGAGACGATGTCTCACTACGCTGCCCAGGCTGGTTTCCAACTCCTGGGCTCCAGCAATCCTCCCGCCTCGGCCTCCCCAAATGCTGGGGCTACCAGCGTGAGCCACCGCGTCCAGCCTAACATGATACTTGAAAGGAAGCCCACCTCTGGGCTGCCAGTCCCCCTTCAAAGGCCAGGAAGCCTCTCACGGGTGTTTCCCAAGTTTCTTGGTGAGAGAAAAAAGGAAACAAAAAACCCCAAAGACTGAGACTGTCGGGGCTTTGGGGACTTGAACGTCCAACCCTAGCGTTGAAAGGCCCAGGAGAAAAACATCCCGGGCCGTCCTGCGTCAGCTCTCCTCGAGCTGTTGCCAAATCCGCGGGCCCTGGGCGTGCCGCCTCCTGAAACCCAGACCCTCTGCCTCCGGGGCCCCCACGGCCCGGAGGCCAGGGCCCCCCACGGCCCGGAGGCCAGGGCCCCCCACGGCCCGGAGGCCAGGGCCCCCACGGCCCGGAGGGAGGGAGCGAGCACTCACCGAGGAGCGGGAGGAGTCTCATTGGCGGCGGCCGCGGGCGGGCGCTGGCGGGCAGCGCGGCTGGCGAGCGGGCTGCGCGCACGGACGGGCGGGAGGCGACCGGCGGGGACCGGCGGGCGCGGAGGGCCCGGGCCGCGTCCCCCGTGACGCCCCGGCTTCCTCCGGACGCTTTCCGGCCGCCTTTGTGCGAGCCGGCGCCTCAAGCTCCGAGGCTGCCGGCCCCATCCGGCCCCCGCGGCTCGGGGGCGGTCCTCTTGTGGTTGTAATCGATCTTTTGGCCCTATGGATGCTTTTGTTTCCTGGGGCCATCTGTCCCCTGTTCTTATTCCCAAGAATCTAATTGGTTACTATTCATTCATTCCTCAGATCCTTGACGGCTAATTACTGAAAATTCTTGTGGGTGTGCAGGTAGAATTTGGGGTTTTGGGTGTGGATTATTCCACATTTTGGGGAGG